TCAATTCCGCCACGCGATGTGCATGTCGTGAATTGAAATTACGTAGAATGAGATGAAAGTTCCAAAAAATGTAAGATACACAGTATTTATTTGGCATTTGATATTTCAGCTTCGTAATAAACACAGTTGACTGAAAGGTAAGATTGTTGTAAGCCACTCGAGGTACTTGATCACGAATTGCAATGGCCTTTCTGTGAATGCTCTTACGTAGTAGAAGTAGAGGAGTAGCCTTTCAGTGTACATCACCTCGCCGTACACGCTTCGAAACAACGAGAAAGACGCAAGCCTCCGTCGGCCTAGTAAAATAAAAAAGCGAAACATTAACGTCCCTGGCTGTGGCATTTCAACGCGCCCTCGCGTACTGCCGCGGGCACAATCATTGTTCCACAGGCTTTGTACTCCGGGATAATGTGGCCCGGAGGCTTTCTTACAACTGCGGACGAGGCAGCTCTCACGTCTTCCAAACCGCGTCAGAGGACTCTTTTGAATCGGAAGGACGCGCGCAACTCGAGCAGCCCGTGCAATTGTCGGGTCGTACTTCTTTTAAACGCCCCGGCGACTGCGAGGCGGCCGCACGGAGCTTCTGCGTCCCATTTCCATTCCCCGCTGCGAGCAGCTGCTCTCGGACGCCGCTGACAGAATGCCAAGGGCCATCACGCAGGAGGGAGCTGTACAAAGCGTCGTGCGGCAGTCACCTGAGGTTTACTTCCCGTGCCCGTCTTCGCTATTACAGTGTTATGTTTTCTGGCATATTCCCTGCTTTCTGCTGCTTAAAGCAGGTATGTCGAATCGCGCCCGCAGGAGCTACTTGTCCGCCTGGGAACTCCGGTAATCCTGCGAGCAGAGCAACTTTCCCTGATTCTACTCTTATTTTCCCTCCAAATCCAGAAAGGGGTGTACACGCGCAAGCGGAAACGGCGCGAGGCGGAGTAGCGGCTTCATACGAAAATGCTTGCGACATTTTTTCTATCAATCAGCACAAACTTGAGTTATGTTTATATTATTTGCGACTTATTATTAATGTTATTATTAATAATGTAAATTAACAAGTCTCTATAAGTTCACAATTATCGCTTATGAGGGGAGCATATCATTTAAAATACAAGAATCTTTGTCAACTAAACCTCCTAACCTGAACATGGAAGGTTAATGCAATTTTTGCTCTCTTTCCAATTTCAATCATAAAAACTCATAATTATGATTCTTATAATTATTAAAATTCCAGATAATAATAAACAAAAAAATCATCGCTCTCCAAATCGGGACCCATCAAATTCCAAAGAAATTCAATCCGCAATCTTTCACAATGACTGCTAAATTTCTTTATTGCATTCTTGTTTACTATTGCGACAATTTTAAATTACGAAATCTCTTCCTGTCTATCAATTTGATACTAACTTTAAATTCAAGTGTGACATATTGGACAGGGTAGTAAAGATTTAAGAAGGGCTTCTGATTAAGTGGAGCTACGTATCTCCCTACGAAATAATTTTCACTCGACTAGTTCTGATACATTATCATTCTTTCATAATATAATAGTGAGGGCTTTGGACATGTGACTGATGCAAATGGATTCTAAAAAACCTTTAAACCTCTATTATCTACATCATCATTTATTGTTTATTCTAAAAGTTTTCGATCGAACGGTAAGACTCAAAGGCTGACACTATTGTTTAGAACAGGTTGTAACCGGGTACTATTAATATACATCTATCCTGTCGGTATTCTTGAAACTAACACACTCACAATGTCAAAACGAAGATCGTTAAACGAAGAAGCGTTGTAGACTGGTAACTCTGAGTTTTGCCCATCATTTTGTACCCTTTTTCAGAGCTGAAGTTTAGTTTCTATTATTTTCGGAAAACGATACGTCTTCGCTTAGACAGAGAATAGCAACTCCATGACCAGTCACGGAAGCCTTCGTACTCTGAAACGTCAATTTCTAATATGACACACACAATTTTGCCTTTGTAAAATTACACTTCCTTGTCATTCAACGCGATAATCATATCCCCAACTTTGCCTTTGCTGTAGAAAACTCCTTAGATCCAGTTATGTAAGTTGAGTGAGCTCAAGTTTGAACTAAGCTTCCGATGTTTTTTCTCCTTCCTGTAAGACTTGCCTTACAATAATCATTCATATCATTACCATTGCCATTGTCATTAATATTACAGACATTTTTTGTTGAAAAATTCTGTAACACAGACTTTTATTAGATAAAAAGGTTTTTTTCTTAATTGACAAAGTATGAGCGGACATAGTTTTAATTGTCATTTCACTAAAATATTAAAAATTATTCGGACAAGAATTCTTACATTTTTTATAGAATTCAAAACTTTTTAAAAAAATAAACTTCTCATTTAAATTTTGTTGAGAAGTTGCCTGTAGCCCCAATATCAGGCCCGGGCTATTGTTAACACAAGTAAAAATTACGCTCTCGGAAACATCCTTTAAACATACCAAATTTGGCCATGATGGCAGTTTCTCATTTATTCCATAAACCGATGTATTACATTGCTATCTACCCTATTTATGTGTTTGTTAGTGAACATCATACACAGTTGTAACACTTTTTTCTCATGAGATAAGTCGTGTGACACTTGCTTCCGATCTTTAGGTGGCTCATTCCACACTGATGTTTGGCAAATACTCGATCTGACACTCAAAGAAATTTTGGGCACCTGTGAACAACCAGGGTATGATGAGTTGCCTACCGATCATGAGCGAATGACACATGTTTAACATTATCATATAGGATTTCCCATCACACGGTCATTGCCAAAATATAATCATCTTCGACTCCCTACATACCCTAGAAGTTTGTAACACTTATTTTGCGATTTCCTGCATAAACCTAAATCTAGAGCCAGTCCCTAAGAACAAGTTTGGATTATTTTTTAAATTATCTTACATGCGTAATAGCGTCCCCACGCCCTTTTGGCATTGGACGCGACGAGTAATTTTCCTAGAACATATTAAGTCACTCTAACATCAATTCAGTGTCATTGCCTTGTGCCCTTATTAGTCAGGGACTCAGCGCCGTTAGTGTCTAGGGAACCCCAAACGATTAGCGAATCGGGAACCCGCCGTGATTCGAGCTATTTAACTTTCGTGACTTGACGCAACTTGGTTAAGAAGTTGGGCCAGCGTCGCCGGCCCGCGGTAGGCGGCACGCGTGCAAATTTCCCCGCCTATCAGGCCGTCGCCGGTAGCGCGTGCACCCGGGGCGCGGACGGCGGCGAGGCGCGGAATCCATCCGCGGAAGGTGCTCTTTCTGGACTGGCGTCTGCCAGACGAGCTGCATAACGGCACAGTTTCCTCATCGAACACGGAGTGCCGGCGAGTGGGGCCCGGGTAGCGCGTTTGCTGACGCGAGCCATCCATTTTGTGTGACAGTACACTCCCTCCTATCCCAGGTAGCCCCGACCGGCACCCAGCCCAACATTTAGCCGGGGTCAAATCGCCGTTCTCGCAATACCATCAAATGTACATTTGAAATTGTTTTATCAGTAAAATTTAGCATATATATCCTACTTTACGTTAATGTCATGTGTCTAAATAAGAAAACCTACTCTGGAAGATTTTTCTTGGGAAAAAAACTCAATACATGTTAATATAGATAAAGGACGACAGTACAAAATTCCAGTACGTATGCATCTTATATAAATTTCAACATATTTGTGGAACCATTCAATGGATTTTGAAAAAACAAAGGACGAAGAGACATAATATTAAGACTTTATAAATCCATGGCAGTTACAGACTTGCTCTATGGTAGTGAAAATTGAGTATTGAACAGAGCAGAGAAAGAAAGATTTGAATTGTCAGAAATGCGCTTCCTGAGAAGTGTAGCAGGTATACTTTGGCAGATCACATTTCAAATGTAGAGATAAGGTCCACCCAAAAATGTTCAAGCTAAATGACAACATTAAGAAATACAAATGCCAATGGGCGAATTTTATCAATAGAATGGAAATAACAAAATTAACACAAATAGTATAGAACTTCAAACTTTTCGGATATCGCGGATATCGGGATGTAGGACGCCCAAAAAGAAGATGGAAAGATGACTTTTGAGTTGGAAGGGGTTTTCAGTGGCTTACCATGAAGCAGAAGAAGATGTATTAATCATTACTAAACAAGGCATTAAATCTCACGTTCTCACACTAAATCTCTCATTACGTGCAGTAAAAGGGTAGAGTAGAGATACTCAAGATCAGGAAAAAATACACGAATTATATTTCTCCACCATACGTTGCATATAGCTTTTACGTCGGTGTTTTTCTGAAAGTAAATAAAAATAAAATACAGTACAGTACTGTAATATAAAAATATCCTCTGCAAGTACTTGTTGGTTGCGTCAGACTGACTAGTTTGATTGACAGATGCGTGAGACCTCGTTTCAAAATCATGGTGGTCGGTTACAGTAGAGGCAGGTTAAGAGGCAGTTCCTGGTTATCATCTGAAACAATAAGAAACATTTTTAGTCATACTCTGCCAAATTTTATTATCTTACACATATGACGGAAATATCTTCTGCGTGACGACTATTATATAATTATCGGACCATGTAGGTTCTTTACAACAAAAGTAAATTATTCAAATCATTGGTTACCTCATAAGGAATCGAACTCTTCAGTAGCCTTCTGGTAGCAATCAAATATAATCTTGTGTATAAAATAGGAATACAAAATATTCATTCCAGAAATATTTGATGCGAGATATCACAAATTAGAAATTAATCGAAAGACAATTTAGCTTTTAACATTCTAAAAAGTAAATCTACAAAAGATGAATTGCTGGCAAGAATTTATGTCAACAGAAAATGCTACTGACGGTTTCCCTCTTTGAGTAATCTTATTATATGTCTTCGCAATTGTCGCGGTTGTAATTGTATATATCAGTATTCTGTTTGGAAAGGATGCATAAAATCTCATTTTCAGTGTTCTGACACTAACAGACTAATCACCATGTAGTGTATTTTTATTTCATATTCATAGCGCTATCGGGTAAATGGATTTACATATCAAAATCATTTTACTTTATATTATAATAATACTGAAATACAAATGGATTGAAATTCAGTGAATGTTTCTGTGAGTAGAAAAAAGTTAGCATTTGATTTTTCCACAATTTATTTTTTATAGTTCAAAATTATGTACAATGTTAAAATAAACATTACATTACTAAAATTAATTAATTCCCAGTTCTTGGAGATTCTAGTTTAGTAGATTCAACAAAAAATTCGGAATATCTGTATCTGTTGATTTCTAGTGGTTCAAAATGCACCTTATATGTCAAATTATACTTTTGTCATAAATTTCACAAGAGTGTTGCATTCCATGATGGAGTGGAATTCTCTTGAAGAAGCATAACACCCTATTGTTACATTTGTTCTGTCTGTCCCGCAACTGATATTTTGCAAGACAGGCAGCGATACCAAGCGGCAACATCATTCTGTCCGCAACATCGTACACGGGCAGATTCTAGGACTCGAGTACCGATACTTGGGTCTAGAGTTTCAGCACTTGCTACCTACTAGCTAGCTGAGCCAAATGTATCCACTGTCTGGAAGACAATTGGAGTAGCCACATGCTGAGTTCGTAGCTTTTTGTGGTTTCTCCGTACAATATCAAACAAATGTCGACGCAGTACAGACGCGGAACGTGTGCAATTTTTTTCTGTTTTATCGTTGTCCCAGGTATAAGAATATGGTAAAACCTTAGTGGTGCAACAACAGCGCCTACTTTCCCGCATTATTTCTAATCTTTGCAGTTTCCAAAATTCACAGAGTTCAATGAAAATGAGACCTATATTTTTAAGCGTTCCCCTTTCTATTCGTTTAAAACATTAAAAAAAGTATGGAACTTTGTTTGAGAAATTGTTTTTCTATCAAAAGTTTCAAATTGTTTCCAAAAATAGAATAAGGAAAACTTAAAAGAAAAGCGCTGGGTTCATTTTCGATGAACTCTCTGAATTTTCGAAAATTAAAAATTAGAAATAGTGCGAGAAAATATGTGCTGTTGTAGCACCACTAGTTAGTTTCACGGGTTCGACAATAAGCAAAAATTTGCCGTTTTCCTTCGCAGATTACAATACTTCTTTTATTACTTCTTAGGAAGTAAGAGGAGAAAGTAAAACTTGAATATATTTTGGAATTTTTATCAAGTATCTGGCGGATACTGCGACAGCAACCATGTATTTGAGAACAGTAATCGAGTGTACGAACAAGATTTATCCGATTTTTCATTACCAGACCCCGGCACAAGATATTTTACGTTTTTCGTCCTTTTAAGGGGCACGAATACAGTACTTCTACTTACGACGTTATGGCGAGAAAATAATAAACTAGTGCTGCTACAACAGTACACACACTCTCGCATTCTTCGTAAATTTGCAATTTTCGGGAAAGGAGTTCAATGAAAATACGACCTGTAACATTATTTTAAGCGTTCCTTGCTCTCTCCGCGGAAACAATTTGAAAAAATATAGAGCGGTTCTTGAATAAAATAAATGATTTTTTTAAAAATTTGCACTAACTTCAAGCAGAAATTACGCTATAATTACACTTTATTTTAAAATATTGTGCGTAACCTTTTTAAAGATCTGATTTTTTATACAGATTTTGTTTAAAACAAAAATATAGAGCTTCAAATTTGTACTTTTGGGATATTACCTTTTTGCAATTTTCAAAATACTGAGTGTTCGACAGAGATAAGACTAGCGTTTTTTGTGCCTACCAGGATTAAGAGATACATTTAAAGATTCATTTTGGAGCCATTCTTGAGAAAATCATCGTTCAAAAATTGACTATATTTCACTCAAAATTACATGAATATAGTCACTTTTTCGATCAATTAAACATGACTGTAAGGAAAGCAGAGTTAAAATGCATTTTTTGAAAATTCATAAATTTCGATGCAAATAAAACAGGCGTTGTTTATACTAACAACAAATTTAAATCAAAAAAAATTGCCATTTTTAGAAAATTTTGAAAATATTGAAACTTTACGTAAAGTTTCCTGCAAAATTAAATCGTCCGTTTTAAACTTGCAGAACCTTGAGTTCTTTAAATCTATTTGGGAATATAAATTTTGGGAAAAAATCGGCTGAACAATTTAAGCGCTAGCGTTTGACCACAGACAGTGAGACAGATATTTTGCCGCCAGTCGGTTTTTCGGTATCAAGGACTCACAAAACATGGATTCTCATTACGAAACGTTTTAGACGAAGTAATGTACTGTGTATAAGAACTACCCACTTTTTCGTTACTAGGGCCCGTCAATAAGTTTTTCTGTCGAAAATTGGCGTTTTTCTGGCGTGTGATTACAATACTTTATCTAAGATCGAGTGAATGAAAACTCGCATGCATTCATTTGATTAAATTCCGGGTTTTTGGAATCGATTGCATCCAGAATTGGAATAGAATCGGTAGAATCGGGACGTCCCCAGATCCGTGTCAGCTTCCCTGCATACGACGTGGCTCTTTCGAAGTAGAAAGGAGTCGAACTAGATTGGCAAGGACGGGACTTTGTAACAGATTGAGAACTAGCTTATTTTTCATCGTCAGTGGCAGGGAGGCAAAAACTTGATGTGTAACGTTTCTGTTAATTAAAAAACTACAGTAGTTTGTAGTAAAGCAAGCAACCATTAGGATGATGTGAAAACTGTCGCATTGTTTTACACATTTTTGTCTACAGTTAAGAATTTTATTACTATTTCCTTTTTTGTTAACACGTAAGCCCGGCAGCGTTATTTTATCAGTTGAAATAGTTTGACATTCATTCAATAAAGCACAGATGCCGGAGCGTATGACTTTTCGTGGTGCGGACCCCGACATCAGCCGAATTGGTGGCGGAGTAGGGCTCGCAGTGCCTCACCCGGCGCCCACATTCTGGGGAACCCTGCCCTTCAGTATGGTTTAAGATAGATTGCGATGTAGAGGTTAACCATTTTCTTGCGAAAAAACCGGAGCTAATTAATTCTAATCTTTGATGTTTGTTCTCGCTGATACGTTTGATGTAACGGCTCATGATGAGGAAAATTGAGAGTAAGGGAAACCGACTTTCGAGGGAAAGAGCGCCAATAACGTATATAATAAAAAGTAACATTAACATATCTCCAGTGTACATTTTTATGCATAAATTGTGTGATACCCTCATGCACCTCTTTCTCCTTCCTCTATTAGATCCGATTTACACACTTTCTCTTAACGAACGATATGAACGTTTTAGCAAACTCGCGCAGTGTCACTTCTGGAGTTTCAAAAGCCAGAAAACACAGCACGCAATTTCCAAAATATTTTTTTTCAAAAGGAAACGTGTAAATCGAGTCTTAGATTCGTCGTGCACTCCTAAATCCCCCTCAGTTTTTGTGTACATGCGGGAGTTATTCACATTGCTCTCATCTTCATGTCTGTTGCACCGATATATGTAGCTCAAGGCATCAATTGATGACACTCCAGTGCCTTTTAGCGAGAGGGCCTGACAGATGCAGAATTTTCAAAACAAGCTGTATAGATGTATCGTGTTCAACCGCTTTCTAGAGGCGAGTTTTGGTAGCCGGCTGCTCTGATCGGAATTTCTCACTGGTTTCTCTGATCAACACGAAGCAAATGACGGAGCCGTATCCTAAGAAACTGGCCAGGGACCATGGGCAACCTTTCCTTCCTCTTCGTTGTTCTATCCTCACTTCTTACGTACACGTTCACACTTGAATGCACTATACTACCACACATGTCGGGAAATCATTCGGCAGCTTAGACCGTGCCCCGGCTGGGGTGGTATCCCAATGGTGGGATGTATCTGGTTGAGAAACATCCTGCAAGCTAAGGCTGCGCCGGAGTTTGCCATTCAATGGGGGATCACCGCCTCCCCCCGCGATAAAACATGCACTATTGTTACAGGACGAATGACCTTAGCAATTGACATGCTGCGAACATCTAATCAATCAATAAATCAATTGTGTCTGTTGGTATGTGTATGTTTGTTTGTGTGAGTTTTTGATTGATTAATAATGCCGGGTGCGTCAATTGCTAAATCCATTAGTCCTGTACGTATAGTGCATGTTTTCTCTCTCGGGAAGTGGCCGTAGTCATCCACCGCTGAATTCGACGCCGACCTACCTGTCGTCTTTGGGGTTTTCCCAAAGCAGGTATGTCCCATCAGCGGGACACTACCCCAGCCGCTTTGTTGTAAACTCCCTACCGGCCATGTGTGGTATGTGCGTATAAGTGCATGTAAATGTGTCTATAAAGGGGGAGAATAGAACAAGAAACGGGAAGGAAAGCCCGCGCGGTCCGTGCTCGTTTGTTGGGTACTGCTCCGGCATTCGCCTGGTGTTGATCGGAGAACCCACGGAAAACTACCGATCGGAGCAGCGGGCCGCTAGAATTCTCCTCCAGACCCAGGCTGAATTTGACATACCTCACTAGCTAGTGTCGAAAATAATTCCAGCGTCGGCACCCGGACCAAGGACCTCCCGGTCAGAGACACCGCAATGACGTTGCGTTGTCGTTCTCAGCCACCTCTTCCGGTCGAAAACGACTAATGAATCACTCAATCATTGTCGGCGGCGATGGTGTAACGGTGAAAGTTAGCGTACCGGACTGTTGTACCCAAGTTGGCGGTTTCAAACCCGATCGAAGCCGTGGATTTTTAAGGGTAAGGGCGAAAATCCTTCGTTCGCGCTTCCTTTCGAAAGGGAGTAAAGGCGGCTGTCCATGTTGGTAGATTTCTTACATGAAAAAGATCTCAAGCCTAAATGACGCCTCTGAGCTAAATTGAAATTGCCTGTTTCTCGCCAAGAATACTCCTTCCTCATCCCTAGGGTTGGGGTGAAAGGAGCGTAGCGGAATTTGGCGTGGTCAGCCGGAAGAGCGGGCCTGATGCCCCGAGTTCTCGCCACGTAAAAAGGCATTAAATTCAATTCATTCAATTCAATTCAATCATGTTTCTCTGGATGTGTGTGTGTGTGTGTGAGGTCGTAATGTGAGGCGCTGGCGTGCGCAGGTGGCAGCAGCGGCCGCCGGACGGGCCGGCGGCGCGGGCTTGGGCGCGGGCGTGGGCGGCGGCGGCGCTGGCGACGGCGGCGGGCGCGGCGCCCCGGGGCCCCTGGGCCCGTGTACCCCAGCGAGCGCGTTGCAACATGCGCCACGGCGTGCTGGTGGTGAGAACGCGGCAGCTGCGCGACGCCGGCCGCTACGTGTCACGCCAACACACGGGCGGCTCGGAGCGCGTCGAGCTGGAGCTGGCCGTGTGGCGCTCCCTGGCCGTGCACGTGGCCGCCGCAGCTCACGTCGACCTGGGCCGCCGGCCGAGCTCACGTGGCAGCGTGGCGGCGCTGCCGCGCCCACGCTCTCCTGGGCAAGGACGGCCTGCGCTTGCTGCAAGGCTCTCTACAGTGAGCACTCCTTTTCGTGTATTATTATATTATTCTATTATTATTATTTCTTTGTTTTTCTGCATTTCGATTGTAAATTTACATAGATTATGTACAGATTTAAAAATCAAAGCACAAGACATCTATTTTTAAAAGATTCATACTTGCAGCATTTCCCATGAATTTCCGGACTATCCTGTTGTGGAGATAATTACTGCTTTCTGCATAAGTTTGTACATGTCTTCATTCAAACCTGCTGCTTGAAATTCGCAATCAGACACTTAGGGATGACTCCGGTGCTTGAAACAATTATCGAAATATATATATGAATATATACAGATAAATAAGATTAATATGTATGATTATTATATTGTATATTAAATATTAATTATTATTATCATTTTTAATATTTTATTTTTATTACTTATCTCTAACTTCCGATTAAAGATATTAGGTGTCCAGTAATATGTTAATGCTCCATGTGCAACAGCTTCCTAAGAACAGTGTGTCTACGACAAGGGAGATCGTGACTAGTTGGCACATTAGGTAGATTTTTTTACATTAGTCCGGTAGTCACTTTTTTACGTAATACGATTTACTTTGAACTAGTTTGATTGCTCAATGGAAACGTACGTTTATTAGGCTACCTATAGTTAATTTCTATTCGTGAATGTGTGACTGTCAAAACTATAGAGCCTAAAGCTCATCTGATGAAGACTGTGTCAACCAACTCCTCTTGCCTGGGGCAGCCTTTGTACCTACCACCTACTTCGGGAGAGTGTCGAGTAATGATAACAATGTCAACTGAAACTTTTTCATGTTAATTTTTGCAAATAATGCAAACCGATTTATTATTGGCTTTTAGTCGGGTAGTGGCAGTCTTATAATTTGTTTATTTATAACAAAACTTTACAATCTATTTTTTTACAAATAATAAGTAAATATGATGTTGTAGAATTATTCTGAATTGGATTGGATTTCCAGTGAAAGGTCTCCCATCGGTCTCTTCATCTACTTCTTCATAATATAACAAAAAGCAAGTATTTTTTGGGTTCTGCAAGTGGGATAGTTTAGTAGCTGAGGGTATGTTCACTTATTTGTTGAGAATCTATATGGGAGTTGTAGGGGTGAGTTCTGGTTAGTCGATGGGGATGTCTGCACTATTGTCTAGATGTTGAGGGCTAAGTGGTTGGATGGTTTTCAAAGGCGCTGGGAGATAGTTTGGCTGATAATTCTATTCTTTCGCCAAGACAGTGGGCATTTAGTTCCTTGTGCAGTGCTGCGCATTGTGATGAACCATGGTGCGCTGCCGCGATCATTCTTAAGGTCTTGGATTGAAATTCTGGATGCTCGGGAGAAGATTACTCTGCTTGCTGTGCCCCAGATTTTGGATGCCGTAGGTCCATATTGGGATTATGCTAGTTTATAGTATCACAGTTTTATTTTCCATGTGAAATAGTTTTTGAGTGTATCCTAGTATCCAGTTAGGTTTTCTTATTTGAACTTGAAGGTGCTTTTTTTTGGCTAAGATGTGATGTTTCATGTTAGCCGTTTTGTCTAGATGTATTCCCTATTATTTTACAACTTTCCA